AGTTTCTTGATACCGTGTGCAATTTTGTGAGGGAGTGGTAGAATTTTGATCTTTATGAAATGTAGAATCAGAAAAGTAGTGGTGGATCCTTCGGACTCGCGACTGGGGGAAGGAGTGTGAATTTAAAAAAGTTAAAAATCAAAAAATTATTTATTTATTTATTTTTTCATATAAAGAAAACTGGTTCTTATGCACAATTTTTTATACTATAGTTTATAATTCTGAACCAGTAATTTATTGCCGAACTGGATCATTGGATCCAAGGCGGAAATGTTTTTCCCTAAAAGTCAGTGGTGGCAAGCTGATGAAATTTAGGTTCTAATATATCTTAGTACTGGAGTACTTGGGACCCCAGCGATACTTTAATACATAACTATTAAGTAAATAGGTAACACAAATATTTAAAAAAAAGGAGATGTTATTTACTATGGTGTTTTCAACAATACTTTTTTATCCAAAATTATTTTCATGTTATCGAGATTTTATAAAATTATATTAGTGTCTAAAATTTTCCATATTGTTTTAGTCTTGTTACCTATCTCTCATTACAAATCGTCTAAAAAAAATAATCTAGTGAGGCACACAATTTTTGCAATTTCTCTTCGCAAATTTCAATCGTCATTAAAGTTTTATAATGGCAATCCTGGCAACAAGGGCGTGCTAACGCAACCTTAACTTACTGAAATATACTCTAAATAATAATAATAAAAGGCGCTCTTGTAGGAATTATTTACCACAACAGTTATTCCTAACGAACTAACTATTTTTATGTCATCATTTATTTTCTGATATTTAACAAATGTGTTCTCTTATTAAACTTTATTATATTAGCATGTTGCTATCAACCGAAAATAAAAAGATGCCAAGACAACGATTTTTTTAAGGCATATAGAACGACAGTTTTTCTATAGTTTTCCACAGTGTTGCATCTGACTTTTCGGGGAACCAGATCGCTAGGCGGCCAGGTTAAAATCGATATAGACTCTGCTAATATTGTTCCAAGGAACACGGGGAAACGTCAGCCTACTAAAGTTTTGGTCTCCTCATTAATAATGCTTCTTGGAAAGGGATTAGCGGTCTTGCATCTCATTTCTCTCCGTTCACGCAATACGCGCTCTGATGGAGAAGTTCTGGAATACGCGAAGAGGAGAACGAAACATATTGGGCCGATAGGGTTTAACAGACATACAGTGATTTCATCAGGCCAGGCAGCTTATTGAGCTACATTTCTATAATATATTATATTTTAGTTTCAATATTTTAGGCTGAAATGTTATTCTATCTGTCAATAAATGGTACATGAACTTTTTTGATTTATTTCAATAGTAAGAGTGAACAACAAAATATATGGAAATTTCGAGGAATTTACTGGGCCTTGAAATCAGACACTAAAAATGTTCTTTTACCATCTCTTCATACTTGGGTTACTAAAAAATTTTCTAAAGGCTATGAATAAGGAGGGTAAAGAATTTAAATACTTAAGAGAACTTGTTCCCCAATTAAGTTATGCTAAACTTAAGGAAGGCATTTTTATTTGTCTTCAAATTAGAAAATTGCTCGATGATGCAGATTTTAAAAGAACACACAACAGACAATAACTCAGAGCTTGGAACTCATTTGTAATCGTAGTCAGGGGATTTTTAAGAAACAATAAGTGTGAGAACTACAAGCAACTAGTAAGCGAACTTTTAGATTCGTACCAAATGCTTGTTTGCCGGATGTCTTTAAAATTAACTTTATGTATTCTTATTTCAATTTTTTTCCTGAAAATTTGGGTTCGGTAAGCGACGATTAAGGAGAAAGATTTCATCAAGATATCAGGACAATGGAAATTCGTGATCAAGGACGATGGGATCCAGCCTTGATGGGCGATTACTGTTGTATCTTAAAGTGAGACGATTCGACTCCCCATAAAATAAAAATGAACTGAGCATATGCTTTTCAAAAATTATTCTCTATCTTTCTAGATATATCAATGTCAGCATAATATATGTCATATACATCATTGATATACAGTGTCCCAGATTGGGGGTTTATGCATTGCTATCTCGGTTATTATTAGAGATAGAGAAACAGTTAAATAGGAACTTCTTTGTAGAATTTTATGACCGTTTCGATGCCGTTTTTAAATTTGTCCTAGCTCTGTTCGTTTTACAAATATTTTCAAAAAACTGTAAAGGTGCGTTTTAAAAAACTTCCCATATTTGCCTAATTTGATGACTGGTGATATTTTAATAAGTACATTGTTGGGACACTTTTTTTAAGGTGCTTTCATAGACGTTACCAAAAAATTTCTATCGTCTTTTGTTTGTGAAATATAAAGAAATTCAGTTTTCTAAGTAGGCTATGAAGAAAATTTATTTTAAAATAATTCAATTTTATTAGCTTCAACTTAAAATTAAAAAAAAAAAAATTTAAACACATTTGAATGAGTTATTGAATTGATTTGCACCGTGCAAATAAAATAAAATAATCGTATAATTTTTCTAATAGTAGGTGCCATGGATCCTGTTACCATGACAATAGACAAAACAATGTTTAATTGACAGTTCTTGTTGTCATAATTGCTGTTTTTCTTCTTACTATTGTTTCACTGTGATCTACCATTACTTTGTTATAACTAATTTTGTATTTCTTTTATTAAGTTATTTTTTTGAATTTATTATGGCTTTGAAATATACAAATGAAGAAAAGTTAGATATGCTAGAGATTTATTTTAAATCAAATAGAAATATTGATGAGACATCAAGAATTTATGAGGATAACTTTCCAGAACATGTGCAACCGAATGAAAGGTATTTTAGGACTCTTGTTATTAATTTATTAAATCATGGACGATTTATTGGAAAAAGGAATAATGTTTATGAGATTGATAACGACGAGCGAAATAACGTTGTATTAGAATACGTAGAAGACAATTCTATAGCATCTGTAAGACAAATTTCAAATCAGGTAGATGTTCCCAAAACAATTGTGCATAACATTTTAAAGAAAAATAATCATCACCCATACAAACCAACCATCGTTCAAGGTTTACAAGAAAATGACTATGAGATTGGTTTGTACAAAAAAATCTACAGAATCCAGACTTTCATTCAAAAGTATTGTGGACAGACGAGACTAGATTCACTAAGTGTGATATTTTCAATAGACATAACACACACTACTGGAGTATCCAGAATCTTCACATAATTATCCAAAGAAGGTTTCAAACCAAATTTGGAATCAATGTCTGGGTGTGGCATCATAGGTAAACTTGTTTAAATCGTTCATTGATAATAATTCGTAAAAAAACAATTTCCAGGTAATCGTATTATTGGACCATTTATTTGTCATGATAATTTGAACGGTATAAATTATTTGCGAATGTTGCAAGAACAAATAATACCAGCTCTTAGACTTGCTGTAGAAGATATTAATCAGATTTGGTTTCATCATGATGGTTGTCCAGCACATAATAACGGCATAGTAACACAGTTTTTAAGAGCAACTTTTGATAACAAAATTATTGCAAATAATGGCAACGTTCTATGGCCAGCCAGATCTCCTAATCTCAGTCCGTTGGACTATTTTCTTTGGGGCATACAGAAAACGAAGTTTATGCAATTGAACCACCAGAAAACATTCAAATTTTAGAAGAACGTGTAAGAAATACTTTGGCTGTTGTTAACAGAAATACTTTAAGGAGAGCCTGTAGTTCAATATTAAAGTGATGTCAAAAGTGCATTGATGAACCAGGACGACATATTGAACAATTTTTTTAAAGTTTTTAATTAATTTACTTAGAAAACTGAATTATTTTATATTTCACAAGAGTAACTAATTTTTTCCTGATATTGTGATACATCGTTGAAAAAAAAATTAAGAGTATTATTGAACTATCAAAAAAATCCAATATGGCGCCCATAAGAAAAAACAAAGTTAGTGGCATTAACTCAAAAACAAATGACGAGAGAAATTTTTTGGTAACGTCAACGAAAGCACCCCAAAAAACGTGGCCTAACAATGGACTTATTAAAATATCACCAGTCATCAAATTAGGTAGATACGGGAAGTTTTTTAAAATGACCTTTACAGTTTTTTGAAAATATCTGGAAAATGGACAGAGCTAGGTCAAATTTAAAAACGGCATCCAAACGGTAATAAAATTCTTCAAGAAGTTCCCATTTAACCGTTTCTCTATCTCTACCAATAACCGAGATAGCAATGCATGCACCCACAATTTGGGACACAGTGTATATCAATAAATAGATTAGTAAAATTAACCACAATGTTATTCCTGCCCATAAAGTTTTATTAATGTAACAAGAAAACGTTACGTGTTACGACCTTTTGCTTGTCATTTCTGTAAGCGGAATGCTTCATTCCAGTGGGATATGCTATTCAGGTACATGTTACAAAAATATATATATTTTTTGTCCTCCAGCGTTATTATGTAATAATACAATTAATAGTATATTATGTTACTAGGAGGGGAAGGCGAACATTACATGTTGAGCCCAGAAGTTTACTCAGCCGAGGCGCAAACCGAGGCTGAGCAACTGGGCGAAACGTATAATGTGCCTTCTACTCCAAATGACATACTATTTTTTTCTTCGTGTCAAAATAAAAAATTTGTGACTTCAATTTCGAAAAATGACATCAAATATGTTCAATTTCGGCAAAATTAAAATATTGGTAACCACTAACCATTTTATTTATTAATTAAGCATAACATAGTACTAACCGTTTTATTTATAAATGAAACATACAAGAGTAGCATATTTTCTGTATAAATTTAAATAAAAATCTCCAGTTATAGTAAATGAGCGATGTTTTTTAGTTTTTGTGTTGGGAATATTTACTAAGATTAAATCTCCCAAATCTTTTATATCATTAACTTTTATATGAACAAGTTCATCGCATCTACAAGCTCCTGTGACTCCTGATATAAGTACAACCTAAAAAATATACTACATTAATTTTATAAAAGTAAAACAAAGTTAGAAAGAGCAAAAAAAAGTTAAAAGTACAGGATTTGAACCTGAGCCTTCAAATTACGAATCCAACACTCTAACCACTGACCTATAATCGGACTTAATCAAAGCATTCAATTCTTTTTATCTATTATTTTCATAACGGTTCGATAGGTATAAAATAACTGGACATTCACAAATTATAACATAATTTTATATTACAGATATGAAAGGGTTAAATATATAATTTTAAAATGCGTACATACCTTTGTTGCTAAATATGTATCATTAGGTGCTTTATTAAGGAATTCATCAAACTCTTCTTTAGGCAAAACTTTTGACTCTTTAGGTTTATAATTTTCGCCTTGTCGCTTTAAAAAGGCAATTAATTTAGAATAGTTGTTAATTTTTACATTGTGGTCGATGTTTATTTTAGATTTTACCATTGAATATTGTGCCCATAGAGTTGAACTTTTCAGTTTTTTAGATAAATGTGTAAAATATGCTATCACATTTTCCGAATACATATGTACAGTTGATTTCAATAAAAACTGGTACACTTTCTTTTAGCTATGTAAATCATTCGTTCTTTGATTGATATTAATAATCTTATAAATATCACTTTGACGTTAATCAGTGGCGTCATTATTAAAAATGGTTCGACATCTAACAGATATTCAACAATTTCGAATTGTTTCTAAAACTGAAGATGGTTGGTCCATAAGAAGACTTGCTGCTGAATACAATGTGAGTAAAACCACGATAATGAGTGTTAAAAAACAATGGGAAACCAACCAAACAGTATCCCGTAAAGTTGGTTCCGGTAGGCCCAGAAAGAGCAATAATCAAGAAGACGAAAATCTTATAAATTACCTAATAGAAAACCCTTTTCAGTAAATGCAATTTCAGAGACAAATTTCCCTGCTTCGGTATCTACTGCTTGCAGAAGAATAAAACTACAAAGCGACTTGAAGAGTTGTTCAGCGGCTAAAAAATACAAACTTTAAGAAGAAAAGAAGCAGGGTAGGATTATTTTTGCACTCAGCTATATAATCAGTGATGAAAACTTCTGGGGACAAGTTGTCTTTTCTGACGAAAAGGTTTTTAAATCCTGTAACGATGGACATGTTCGCGTATATAGGCCTCCTTCCACTAGATACGACGAAAAATATACTTTCGATCCACAAATATCAGGAAGGTTTTCAGACAATGTCTGGGCTTGGATGAGCCTAAATGGGTTAGGTGTGTGTTGGAACAGTGGTGGTCATCTCAATTCCATTAAATATATTGAAATATTAGACAATATTATTTTGCCGTCAGTAATAGAGGTGTTTCCGGAAAATAATTTTATTTTCCAACAAGACAACTGCTCCATACATACGGCCCATCGTGTCAGGCAATGGTTTCTTAATAAAAACATAGAGTTGTTACCGTGGCCATCTAAAAGTCCGGATTTAAATCCAATTGAAAATGTATGGGGACTAATGGTGAAACACATAAGAAAATTAAATAACCATCCAAATAATGCCCAAGAATTGGAAGGGATAATTGAAGACGCTTGGGAGAACTTGTCGCAAGAAGTTGACCTTGCAAGAAATCTGATTTTGTCCATGCCTGCAAGACTTCAGGCAGTTTTAGACGCTAATGGAACAATGACAAAATATTAGTTAATTCTGTATTACGTAATTGAAGTTCATTTATTTTATTTTTTATTGCATTTTTATGTTCAGTTTGCATTGTTTACATTTTTTTTAATCTCAAGTGGTATTTTTGTGTTCTTATTTTAAAAATAGAATTTTCATTATTCAGTTAGTATTTTAATTACAACCATTAGTAGAAATATCCGTAACAAATATTATTTTTTTAAACAATAATATGGCAGGCTTGAAAATGTTTTGAAAAAGTTATTTTCTAATTATTTTTTAAAATTCCATTTGAATAAAATAAAAGAGAAAGGTTTAATAAGTTTAAAAACACAAAGAAAACCGATCTCCTCCAAAAAACCCAGGTCCGGGGTAAATCACCTCTTCTCCACCCCCCTCTCGACATGCCTGGCCAGCCCTATTTACAGACATATGCACACAACTAAACTATTAAGATTTTCGATTACAAGAGTTGTACCAGTTTTTTTTTAAATCAAGTGTACGTTGTTGTCTTTGGCCCATTTTATAAATTTATCGTACGCATTATCGTAAACTTTTTTGGATTTGGCGATAATAATTAATGTTGCCACTGATGAATTTGCAATTTCAAGTAATTCAGGTGGTGTGCATTGCATTTTTTTCAGACATTTCTGCTTTTAAATTTAAAAACCGACCCGACGTGAAATTTAAAACTGACAGTTATGACAAGTCATAGCTACTTGGATTTTTAATTCGTTGTATGATAGGTACACTGCTGTGCAAAACTAAGTAGGGCAACACTTATTACTGTACCTATAAGGGTTAAAAAGCGAGATAAGAAGAAAGAAGTATCAAAAGAAGACCTTTAACTGGGAGACGAAGGATAAATGATGGTTGAATACGATCAGCAATAGTAAATTATCTGCGTGGAAAAGCAGAGATATTTATATTACATATAAATTACACCACTACTGTCACTGTCCTACTTCCTTTTGCACAGCAGTGTACATTGTTTCATTTTTTGTCCTAGGAAAAAAATGAAAAATATTTGTATTAGTACAAAAATAGACTTTTTTTCCAGGACGTGTTGCAATATATAATGTAAGTATACCTAACGCTTGAAGAAAAATATTATTTAAAATTATTTATTTTATTAAAGGCACTAAACAATCGTTTCGATTGAACATAATGTACTGAACAGTTCTGGCCTCCTTTCGACATGGTAGGCTCTCGGTTATAATCCCGACACGTTCAACCACTTCTAGATTCTGTTATACTGTATCTTGTGCAATTCGCTGAACTGAAGCCCTAAGTCTACGCCACGGCATTGATTGAAGTATAGCGCGACGTAAATTGTTTACCTAATATAATCTCTCGCGAAACTTATGTAATCCGATGTTGAATGGGTTCAGCGCGATTTCAGCATAATATGCACGTGGTTATAGTCTTGTGCGTAATGTTCAACTAACTGTCTTCTCAACTAGCTAACAATTCTAATAATGGCACGTCAATTTCGTGGTTTTGTGACTAGAAATGGGGAATTAATACAAGTAAAGTTATTCGATTAACTTACGTCAAGAGCTACATGATAGTGTAAGATCGAGTTATATAACAATACTATGAAGTGCAGTGAGAGGAGCAAAACCGCACTATACATCATATCGGATGCACTGTATGGAAACTTCAATGTACAATTCAAATTTCAATTATACTAATGAAACATCCTATTATTTATGTTAATTTCCCCTATAGCGACATTGCATCTAAAACGTATTTATTAAACTTAGTTGATACTACAAAATGTATAGAAATAATTATAAGAAAAGTAAGTTATGTAAGGGTTAAGAAAATAATAATCAATATCTCACAAACTCTCTTTAATATGCTACCGGCAATTTAGTCAATTTTATTTAACCCTCAGTTAAATAGTGAGAGGATTACGACTTTGGTACCTTATTTAGTTATTATTTTTAGTATCAATTACTAATTCTAATTTAATTTTACACTCTCTGTTGGACTAATTTGGTATTTTAATTTTTATTATACCTTTATTACTTATTACTAAAGATCGTACTAACGATTTAATGGTAACTTCATCTACCAGTTGTAACGAAATTGCAAGCCATTTCATTCCAGGTTGTTGTTGTTCACGATGAATTAAGTTTCTGTCAGTCTAGTCCAGATGGCACCACTGATTTCTACTGGAACAGTTGGTTTTGCAGATTCTTGCACTAAATATCTATCTATCTTTATTACTCATACTCTACTCTCAAATGTCTTACTAGTATAGCGTTCTGAAGACAACATCTCTAGTTCAGCGGTCTGGTACAATTTATATGTTTCCTGGTATTATCGTGTAATTTTATGATCATCATTATTTAAAAAGTTGCTATATTGATTTAACGTACCTTTGAGGTAATTTTCATAATAATATTGTATCGTATTTATCTTAATTTACGCCTTGGGCGAATTTGCTTTTCGGTGATCAGTTCACCTTGGTAGTTTTTTGAAACAGCCATCATTAATATTGATTAGTATCGACTCATCGTGCCTTGTTGGTAATAATTTATCTAATATCCCTCTGATATTGTAATAATTTCGTGGGCTACTTTAAACTAACTTTCGGTTATTGTAAATTTTATATTTACCCGACAACGGATGTCGCCATTTTGTATCGTAGTTAGTTGTTTTCGTCTGTTGATGTTTTAGGTCACTTGGCTATGTTGGTAGCTCTGTGAAAAGTGGTGACTGGTGACATTTGGAGATTGGTACACCTTAAACCTATTTGTTTATAACCTTTGTGAAAATTATCTAATGTGGTGCATTTGTTTTGTGGTGGATCATTTTATACCAGTGCATATATTTACCAACCAGACCTCAGTAACGTAAGGCTTTTCTAAATTTAAAATATCGAATGCTTACTTGAACGTTTACTTAGTATTTAGTCAGGAACGCTGCTCTAGTGGAGCCTTGCCTAGTTCTCTGGCAAAGATACCTGCCTAGTTATCTGGCAATTAATTAACTTTTGATTATCTGCAGTAAACATATAGTCAAGCTATATATCTTTATTCAACTTTATCTGGAATTCATTATTACCTCTCTACCAGGAACTAATAAATAATTTAATTTAACGTTACCTTTAATTTGAAAATTATCATATTGTTTTAAATTTAGCAAATATTTATTTATGTTATCTTTCTAATTGTCTGTCTGTATACAGACATTCTAAATTCTATTTTCTTGAAGATTTAACTTTTTTTAGTACAAAATATCTTAACAAATAGTGAATACCTATTTCACTTTGTTTATTATCATAGCTACACCTAGTTTATTTGTTGCACTCGTATTTTTTCTATTGAACGTAACTTTTATCGATAATTAAGTTAGTTGAGGTCTTCAACTTCCTAAAATATTGTGGGATACCGATCCTAGTTTGTCTAGTTTGCAATTTACTCTGTAAATTTGTGTTAACTCTTATATTTGGTCTACGTAGCT